GTTTATTAATCTGCGGATTTATTGACAAGCCAAGTGAATCACACCCCACGTGTTATTTTTTTTTTTTTTTTTTTTTTTCCCTTTTTTACCTGTCCTGTTCATACATTTGTATCTGCAATGCTTGACGCATAGCGATGAGTAAGCCGAATTTTCCTTTTTAAAGAACGAAAAATGAAGTTTTAACATTTTTGCAATTTGCTGACTGTAAGTTTTGTCAAAGGGGGGTTGTCGAGCAGCGCAAGGGAACGCATCTCATAAGACGGCATCCCGCCCAAAGCCATTCATCCAACAGAAGCTATCCCAACCGAAATTATCCCACCGGAAGGCACAATGCATTTCGACTTCACCCTGCAGACTTGCTGCGAACGAAACCAAAACATTACCTTCGTGAGCATCTCTGTGTGTGTGTTGATAAACGCTCTGTTATGGAAGTGCAAAATTTTGGAACCCTTCAAACTGCTGACCGTTTTTTTGCACGAGTTTTCGCATGCGTCGGCCTGTTGGTTGACGGGGGGCCGGGTGAAGAGCATAGGTTCGTTTGCAAGGAAGAAGTGAAAAAAAAATTAACCTGTCCATTCGGCTTTGTTGCGTGGCTAAGCTGCGCTTTTGGGTGAAAAACGCCACCCCTGCTGTACGTATATCTTTGTGTGTACGCGTATATGTGTAGTGAACACTTTCTTAAAGCATACCATTCCGTGGTTATACTTTTTTTTCGACTACTTATGTAACATTTTTGTACCACTTCATGCGAACTTCATTTTTTTTTTTTTTTTTTTCCTCCCCCCTTTGGTTGCAAATGCAGAGGTGAACAGAAATCATGGAGGATGCACAAACACAATTGGAGGAAACCAATTCCTAATTCTTCCCGCTGGCTACATTGGGTCCTGTTTCTACGGGATGTTTTTTATTTTGATGGCATACATAAACAAATGGACGCTGATCATATCCGCTGCTTTTTTATGTTTCTTACTCCTAATAGTGTTAATTTTTTATGCGAATAATTTTTTCCTAAGGCTTCTATGCGTCCTGTTCTTAACGCTTACCATTTCTGTTTGGGTTTTGTGTGTGCATTTTAAGGAAGATGTGCAGTACTGGCCCTTAAAAATAATTATGACTTTCATAGGCGTCCTCAACCAAATATATAGCATGGTAGACATAGTTGAAGACTTAATTACGAGATCTGTGCCTGAGTCCGATGCGTATAAATATGCAGAATTGACCAAGTGTAACTCGAAGTTTTGTGGGGCCTTATGGTTTGTGGTCAATTTGACTTTTATATGTTCGACCGTTTATTTGATCGGCGCAATTCATGTGAAGAGCTTTAACGATTGACTGCGCCCGGTTCTTTCCTGACTGCGCTTTGTAGGAGCTTCTTTGAGGTAAGGGGGCCTCACCATAATGTGCGCTCCATTGGTCAATATTGACATTGCTTTGGATGAACTTGTAAAGATATTTGTTCTGCAGAAGTAGCGCTTATTTTCTTCCAAACAAAAGCTCGCTTTAAACGGTGTGCGGTGTTACGCTGTTTGGATCTTTTTTTTTTTTTTTTTTTTTTTCACCTTTGGGGGGAAATGTCCCAATGGAACTTTTACACGGAATATGTACTGGTGACTCACTTATAATGGCGCTTTTTTTTTTTCCACCTTTAATTATTAAAAAGTCCGTTCGTCTTGAAATTTTCAGGATGGAACAGGTTGAGTGGCAGAACGGGCATGTATAAGGTGCATATGGGAGGCATACATATGTTTAATTAACCCAGTGGGTGTTACCTCTTTTATTTTTTTCCCACATACGGCAAAACTCTTAGGGAAAAAAAGTCCAAACGAGGGAATCTTTACGTTGCATAAGCACCGTTTTGGTGATACTATACAAAAAGCTTCTCCCCGCCGCTACCGCTGACATGAAAATAGGGACCGCGGCACAGTGGCGAATTACTTCCAACTGTTACGGCTGCATACACCTGCATGCATCGTGGGTGGCAACAGGAAAATTTTCAAGGCATATGAGCGCGGTATAAATGCGAAACCGTTATGATGATATGAACTATCATGTGACGACTTGCATAAGTTGAAACTAATGGCCAAGAATTTTTTCAGGATCATCTGTTATCTCTATTTGTAAGGAGATACATAAGTAAAAAAAAAATATATATATATGAACAAAACCCCAAAAGGGGGTAAGCATGAATAACCTTTCCTTATTTGCTGACCCCCAATGAAAGGAGCACATCCCCGAAGTATTCCAAAATGAATTTAACAAAATCCCCCCCAGATTTTATCATCTTTAAATAAAATATTGTAGGCGGGGGAAATAATTCTTGAGAGGATTTTTTTTTTTTTTTCCCCGTTGTCCTTCCAGCTAGCTATTTCAAAAAACGTGCGCGACAATACCAACACATGTTCGCAAAAATTGGACCAATTTTTCGTGTCACGCTCAGTTGGTTCACAAATGCCACGTATGGAGGAATAGTGGACAGCCTAGCTGTTGTATTTTTGTCCTATACGTTTTATTAACCCGTCCGTTATTTTTCTTTTCCTTTCGTTGAAGAGGGAAAAAAAAAAATAATCCGCCCACTTGAACAAGATGAAGTATGGGCAAGTTGTGGTGGGGCCTGCTGGGAGCGGGAAAACAAATTATTGCAAGCTGATGAAAGAATTTATGAAAATAAAAAAACGAAATTGCTATGTAGTGAATTTGGACAGCGCAAGTGAAGAGTACTACTACGAGAGAAAGAAGAAAGCGATGAACACCACGTCCAACATTGAAAAGGAATTGAAGCAATATTATGACACCATTTACGACATCGATATAAGGAACTACGTGGATGTAAACAGCCTAATGGAGGATCAGATGCTTGGCCCAAATTGTGCTTTACTAAGGAGTGTAGAATTGTTATACGAAAATTCATATTTGCTGGAAGACGAATTAAATAATTACGATGATGATGAAAATTATTTCATCATTGATACTCCTGGACAGATAGAGTTGTACACACACACGGATTATTTTAAGAAAATTTTAAGCATATTCACTGATCAAAATATAAGATTGATAGTTGTCTTCTTAGTAGATATTTCATTTATTAGTTCGAATACGAAGTTGCTGTCAGCGTACCTGACCAGCTTATCCACCATGATAAACTTTGAATTACCTCACATTAATATATTAACCAAATGTGACCTTTTGGTGAGTAAAAATTACTACCAAGAATTGAGAAAATTTAAGCATAACAATAACTTTTTTTTCCAGAGGAAGTTATATAAAAAGATTAACAGAAAGATTAAAGGTGGCCGAGGTAGTCGCTTTTTTCTTCAGGACAAATCGGAACAGAGTGACCGTGAAGAAAAACGGGCAGGTGATGATTTGGGTGACAGCTTTCTCAAAGAAATGGAATACATAAACGGTGAGAAGTCTTTTAAGGACGAATATATTTTGTGTTCCGATTATGACAAGAGAAGCGTTTCAAGTGTTTCTTCTGCCAGCATGTCTGAAGGAAGGGGTGAAAAATTCGGACAGAATTCATCAGATGAGAATAGCAGTAGCAGCGTGCGGTCGGAAGAACTTGAAGAAAAAATTTACCAAAAAAATTATGAAAAATTAAATGATATACTTTCTTTGGATCCCCATGATATTGTCATGACGGCCAACAAATGCATGTCCAGGAAGTACTACAAATTGAACAATGCCTTTGCGCATATTATCGAGGATTTCAATTTGGTTTCCTTTATCCCGTTAAATATTTACGACGATGATAATGTAGATTTTATTATCAACTCCATAGATATGATCATACAGTATGGAGAAGACAAGGACGTGAACGACAATTACGACATGTGATGCGGATTGAAGGAGGGGGGAAGTTCCGTGCGTTGTGTGTGCAGCGTGCATTGTTTGCAAACGCGCGTCAGAGGTAAATAGCGCATTTGTCGTTTCACCGTCGTGTGAACAATTTGGCTCACTTTACATACCATTAAAAGGGGGTAACATTGAAAATGACTTTTTTCTTTCATGGCAATTTCTTTACCGCATAGCTTCTTCCCCTTTAAGTGCCTCCCCTTTTAATGCTTGTTCGTATGTTGTTCCTTTTTTTGTCCCATGGAAACATCCCCCATGATGCATTTCCAGGGCAAAACTATACACACCTTTTTTTTTTTTTTTTTAATCGAATTTGTTTGTGGACATGCTGTACATTTCCTGTTGGACCTTAAGAACACGAAAGTGGTATCAATCAGGAGGTACCGCTAATGTTGGTATATACCATCTTCTGAGCATGGTGTAATTTGAAACATTTTTTTCTTCATTTGGTGATTCATACGGTAGCCGTAAAAAATGCGGCAAAAAATATGAACAAGCAAGGCGTTTTGGAAAAAAAAAAAAAAAAAAACAGCTAAAAAGCTTTTCAAAAAAGAAAAATATGAACAGCCAAATCGTGTGCCCGAAAAAAATGCACACAACGTAACCTTTTCATTTCGAAAAAGAAAATGTCTGAAAAAAAACTGCGAATGCGAGCCACCGCTCTTGCAGAATAGATAACAATTTTCTGCAGGAGAATGAATAGCCCTCTGGTACGAAAAAAGTAAAGGGTATGGCAACGCCAACTGGTCTGTGAGGTGCTCCATTTAAGTTTCCCCTGTTTCTATGTTTAGCGATTTGATGTTGTAGGGGTGCACGCCTAAAATGCCCAAATGCTTATTGAGCAAATACTTGGTTACTTCTGCGAACACTACATTAATGTCTTCGAAAAACATGCCCTCAATGTTGACCACGACGATATTATTTTCTACACTGATGGCTTCGAGTATACTGTGTTCAGTGAAATAAAAAGATTTTTCTCTTTTGAAATTTTCTATGTCCGCTTTGACTTCTTGTAGTGACGGAATGTAGTTGTATTTGTTTCGAAATATGTTTGAATTTGAGAAAATATTTCTGGACGGTTCGGTACTTTCATCTTCTTTTTTTTCGCGCAAACTGAATTTGTTACTATCTGCGGGTTGTTTTTTTTTGGCAGCGCAGAAAAAGTAGTTGCTGCGGTTTTGGAGGGTCTTCGAATTTGGGCCGTATAGTAGGACAGGTGAATTTCGTGGGCTACTCAGGTGTGGTCTATTCAGGGTAAAGCATTTGCCCGCAAAACGGTAAAGAAAAAGTAAAAGAAGAAATTTCAATGTCATTATTGCTATGTTGTGCCTTTTGTGCAATTACATTGGAGGGTGGGGGGGAAAAAAAAACAAAACTAAGCGAGAGCAATGCGTGAGAAACATCCGGAGAGTGACTTTTTTTTTCTTAGCAGGGTGTACGTTAAGGTGGTATCACTTTGACAGACTTTTGCACTTGTCCTTCATGTTCCCTTGTTAGCTCTTCGCAATAGCGCCAAAATGTATTTACTCATTAGGATGGGGAGTGCTTCTTGGGGGAATTTCCTTCCTGACATGAGCAAGATCCCATGCGGCAACGCTTCATGGAGGGTCAACTTTGTTCGGGAAATTCTTCTCAATACGTGAACAGGGTTTGGAATGCTTGGTAGTGTTTCCCCCCACTTCGCTATTAAGTCAACGCTACGGAAGTGCAATTCTCAAAAAAAAAAAATTAATGTCCCCACCGGGACGCTCTCCCATAGAGATCATATGCCAAAATGTAACAATGTGCGGGACTGCTATGTGGGAAGTTGCATGGCTTGCTTACCCCTTCCTGGGTCCACATCATTCGTTTTACATCCTTGGCGAGATCACTAGGTCAACATCTCTTTTATTTGCACACAGTTAAAATTGCGCAAAAAAAAAAAAAAAAAAAAAAAATGGCAGCGACATTCTGCTGCCCCCTTTCTGAAATAACCCTTTTATATTTTATATAAGCTCTTAATACATGTAGTTTTTGTGCGGTCTTGTGTACTATTCGTTTTTTTCTCGGCTTTGTTTATGGTCCTTTTCAAAGTTGCATTTTCCTTTTCCATCCTGTTGCATTTCTACACAAGTGGGGATGTACATTACGGGGGGGGATGAGCATCACGTGTGTGTGTTGGCGGGGAGCACAGAGGAAGATATACGTATGGATGGATGTATAATTCCTTTTTGCAAAGTGCCTTTTTTGTGCATAACCTGCTGGAGTATGTGGAGCTTGTTTTTTAAGTTTTTCAAGGCGTGACTTCCAGTGTCATTTATTATGTCCCGCATGGCCTCCTAAAAGGGGACGTTGTTCGGAGAGTTTGCGGCATTGATAGGACAGGTGTAGGTGTACACACGTGCGCGGGACACTCATATGTTCACAGAATATAACGACCCGCTCGAATGATAAGGAGGCAAAAAACAAGAAAGTCATAGAAGGTACTAAATAATGTACCTTGTTTTTCCGGCTGATTTCGTCTTTATTTTTAATCAAGTCTTTTATCTTCAGCTCGTACTGCAGCTTCTCCCTTTCGTGTTCCTTTTTAATTTCTTTTAATAGTGAGGAGAGTTCGCTTATCTTCTCGCTGTAGTGTGCAGGTAGGGTAAGGACAAAAAAAAAAAAGAAGAGCAAGTGAATCGTTCATTAGTGCACTGCACACATGTAATTGCAAATATTATTTCTCCGCGACACCATCTGATTGTGTTAAAATGTTCAATCATCTTCGGCCTACTCCTTTGACACGATGTCTAAGTCAAGCTCTACTATTTGACTCTCTAGTTGGAGCAATTTATTTTTGTTTTCTCTCTGCATAGAACCGAAGCGCATATGTTATAATTGTAATCCCAGAAAAAGGGGGAAAGATATTTTGTGTAAACCATTTTATTATTTTTCATTTGTGTAACATTTTTGTTAAACGTTTTCACATTGTCATTTTTTTTTTTTTTTGACCAGCTTGCTATCGTATTCTGCAACTTCTCTCTGTTTCTTCATCTCCATCGCTTTTGTTCTCTCCTCCATGAGCAGCTTGTCTGACGGGGTTTACAGCGGGGGCGCATTTGGAATGCCGCTAATACGTAGTCGAATGCCACCGGGGCACACCTCCCCCCACTATGCAAAGATTTGCTGTTGGTGTTGCCTCCTCGTGCATACCCTGTTCCTTTTCCCTCCGCAGGGATTCGATTTTTTCTTTAAAATCATCATTTTGCCTTTTCACGAAATCGTAGCTGTTTTGGTTACGATCAGGGGAAGAAATGCATTTTTATAGCTGCTTCTCATGGGTTAAGACACATGAATACAAAAGCAGACGCTTCTGTCCTCACAAGTTGAGCGCGAAAAAAAAATTAGGACAGTTGGAGAGATAGTCCATTGGGACGGACCTTTCCGCGTAACTGTGCTTTTTTATTAGCCTATCTGTGTGCTCCCCTATAGCAATTGACATTTCGAAATTCTCTGGAACGGTGTGCAAAAAAAATGATGAGCAAGCTATTTTGAGAAAGCGAAAAATGTGCACACATTTTTTTCCTGAACGGGTCATGTGATTTCTTCCCTTTTTTTTTTTTTTTTTTAAAAAGAAGTTTTTGTACTTTTTTTTTCCTGTTCGTACTGCTCCTTTATTTCGTCAAGACTCCTGAGCGCCTCATTGAGTCTCAACTCGTTTTGTTTTTTCCTGTTGAGTAGATGTTCGTAGGATTTTTCTAAGTCTGCGAAGTTTTTGAGGAAGTGCGCCATGTCGCAGGATGTCGCGTCCTTGTCCGTCATTGGGGAGAAGGGGAGGCGTTATAAGGCAGCGGTAGGTATGTAGACGGGTAATTAAGGTTAAATATGTGACCCAGGTAAGGTGACAGGTGTACACCAGACAGGTACATAGCAGTCTGCGACACAGTGGCAAATGTTAGTGAAGTGGGGAGACAACACTAAATGGGCAGGGAACAAAATGAGGTAAGTCCTGCACCGGCATTCCACTAAGCGGAGAAATGCAAACGAAGCGCCCAGCACTTCTTTGCTCTTCTACCTACAGAGATCTGTATTATAATTACAAAGTTGATCTTTTTTGAAGAATTTAAATTGTGCAGGTCGGGGCGAAATAGGCCCGCGGGACGGCAGCGCCTCATGGAACATGCTAGGTGTTATGTGCTAGATGATTTATACGTGCATTTGAGTTAGAGGGGGTGGTTAAAAAATGGCGAGAGATGAATGGGAAGCGTAGACAAACGCGACAATGTGTACGTACAGAATGCGCAGGGGGGTGAGACTGGAGGAAAAAAAAAAAAAAAAAAAAAAAAAAACGCAAAGAGGGGAAACAAAATGGTATGAACAACGGAAGGAGGCGCGAATGTGAAACTAATTCGCAGGGCGCATGGTCGGGAAGAGGATCACATCTTTAATACAATTCTTGTTGGTTAGGAACATAGTGATTCGGTCTATACCTAATCCAAGACCACCAGTGGGGGGAAGCCCATATTCCAAGGATGTACAAAATGAAGCATCAAACTGGAAGGCTTCTGCGTCTCCCTTTTCCCTATCCTTTTGTTGCGCCAAAAAGCATTCCTTCTGTTTAAAAGGGTCATTCAATTCTGTGTAAGCATTTAGGACTTCCTTTCCACAGATAAACATTTCTAATCGTTCAGTTAAGCCTGGTTTGGACCTATGATATTTGGCTAATGGACTCATAATTTGTGGGTGCTCAATAATGAAGAAAGGTCTGTCAGGATATTTATTTTCTATAAAGTGTGAAGCTAGCTGATCTAGCAATTTAGCAGCAGTTGGAGGGTTTGGCATTTCTATTTTATTTTCTTTAATCAAATTGATCATTTTGTTAATCGTTTCTGGAGAATCAAATGGTTGTTCTAATTTTGTGTTTGTTAATTTTTCCAACTCCTCCACGATTGAAACTTTAGGATATGGGGGGGTGAAATCAATTTCTATAGGATCTTTTTCTGGCCCATCTTTATTATATAATATTTTGTATGTGCCAAATAAGTGCATAACTAAAGTGGAAAAGAAATCTTCAGACCATTTGATGAGGTCATAAAAATCTGCATAAGCCCAGTAGAATTCACATGAGGTAAATTCAGGGTTATGAGTATTATCAATGCCTTCATTTCTGAACACTTTTCCTATTTCGTACACTTTGTCTATTCCTCCTACGATTAGCATTTTCAGAGGTAACTCTGTTGCGATTCGGAGGTAGAGATCCAGGTCTAAGTCATTATGGTGGGTAATAAATGGTTTGGCATTTGCACCACCTGCTACTAAATTCATGGTTGGAGTTTCTACTTCGAAGAATCCTCTATCATTAAGAAAACTTCTCAGGTAGTTAATAATTTTGGTTCTGGTAATAAAGGTACTTCTGGTAGATTCGTTTATCATTAAATCTAGGTACCTTTGTCTGCACCTAATTTCTGTGTCCTTTAATCCATACTTCATTGGTAGCATGTGGAGACATGGAGACAGGATGATCGTTTCCTTGGGGAATATACTTAACTCTCCCTTTTTGCTTTTTCCAGGGAACCCTACAATTCCTACAATATCTCCTCGTCTTATCTTGTCATACGCTTCTGCGAAATTTGACTTGGTCTGATCATGGAATGCGAAATTGGCTAGCACTTGTATTTTGGCTCCATCTCCAACCAAGTCGAAAAAACGCAATTTCTGTCCTGAGGCAGACACCCTCATTATTCTTCCTGTTACATTTACAACGGTATCTTCCAGGTGCTCTCCGCTCGCTAGGTTTTGGTACTTTTCTACAAATTCTGGTACAGTTATGGTCCTTTCAAATTTGTGTGGATATGGGTTGATTCCCTTGGCCTTTTGTTCTAGGATTAACTTGGACCTGTTCTCGTAGTACAGGCGTGGGTCCACCTCTGCTTCCTCTTCCTTTTTCTTGTCCCTGTGGTGCGGGGTGATGTAGTGTAATGACAACGCAGAAAAAACAACGCGGCGGGCATGTGTACGCGCTGTGTATGCACGCGCATAATGGCATGTACCACTCACAAATATGGAGAAAGTACATAAATAGCGAAGGGATGAAGAACGGCGGTACGGCTTTAGAGAGAGGGGATATACCGTTCTCTCCCCATCCACATTTCCCTTCGACGTGGTTAGCTTACTTGGCCTGGTGGTTCTTGGCGACTTTCTTTTCGCCCTCCATCACATGTTCCTTTTTCTCACTCATTTTGGTGAAGGTCTGTTTGCAGTTAACCGGGAAGATGATATTTTTATTCTTGTTCAGAATTGCTGATGAGTAGGAATGTTGTTTGTAAAAGTAGCTGCCGAAATTTTTATGGTATCTCAGGATGGGCAGTAAATCTCTGAACATATGTGAAGATGTAAAAAAGGGCTATTGTTTTGTCGAGTTTGTGATTGTGTTCCAAGAGGGGCTTTACTACCCAGGGGGCGCTTGTCGCTATGGTTTTTACTTTGTCGCTTGCGAAAAAACGAGATTATAATTTTTTCCGCGAGTTGTACTTTGCGGATAATTTGGTGCAATTTTTTTTTTTTTTTACCTGACTCTGCAAGGTAACTTTTTACTTTTTTTGCTAAATAGCTAGATGTGGCGTTTTCCGCCTGATGCTGTTTAAAGCGGGACGGAGAAAAAGATGGGCTCATTTCCACTCCGCCCCTGCGTGATTGTAGGTTCTATCACTGGCAGTGCAGAATGTACAGCGGGAAGAAACCACACGCTATACACATACATACGTGAAAGTCCTATGGATGCATGCACAGCATTTACATTTTTGACCATGAGGAATAAAAAAAAAAAAAATAAAATAAAATTACCTGAATTTATTTTATTAACGTGTTGCTCTAGTGACATGTCTTCTTACAAAACACGGGTTGCGGAACTGTGGTGAACTGACTCGTCCCTTTTTTACCATCACCTTTTGATTTGGTCAACAACAGGTGAGCATCATATTCGCCCCAAATGGACATCCACGTGTGGAGAGAGAGCACACGTACGTATGTACGGATAGATATGATCGAACTTAAGAAAGGAATCTCCACTGAGACGTAAAAAACATCAACTGGTACTTCTTCCCCAGTTGGTTGTGAAGCTGATGCGTTTTAATTCCCCGCAGCAGTGTGTTAAGCAAATGGGGAAATACTAAATTCGTGAGAGAGTGGTTGTTGTGGAGCTTTACAATGAAGCGTTTTATAATGACACACTGTTTATGTGGTCATGTGATTATATATTGGTCACATTTTAATCATTTAAAAAGGGAAAATAAAAAAAATATAATAATAAAAAAAATAAAAGAGACGTAAAAATAGGGTTTTTTTTTTTAAATCAAATGAGACAAACAGGAAGGGCGGATGCTTTTTATTCGCACCGCACACGTTTCGTATCCATACAAAGCCCCCCTTCGGGAGCAGAGTCGTAAGGAACTAGTTAAAGAATTGCTCAAAATGTTCGGTCACAAAGTGGGCCTCAAATGTGCGATAGTTGGGGAGTGAACAAATTCGAAGCATCTACTCTTCTTCCTCCTTTTTCCTATAAAAAAAAGAAATACAAAAAAAAAAAAAAAAGGCGTGTGCAAGGGGGAGCGGGAAGAGTCGCGGCAGCAGGTATTCTAAACAGACACTTCAAATTTATATAATGGGCACTGTTCTTATTCGTCGCTTTATTTCTTACGCTTCCATTATTAGTGTGATGGTGTCCCCCTTGAGAAGAATCTTGCCCAGGTCTTTTCTCGTTTTCTTCTTAACTGAAACTTCTGCGGACTCGTCTAGCACCATGTTCATGTATTCATCGAAACCCTATAAGGTGATGCGGCGTGGATGGAAGGGGGAAAAAGTATGTCTGGGTGTGATGAACGTGTGCATATAGGGTACATACACGTTACGTAAGTCTATCCCGCGCCTGGTGTGGCGGTGAAAATGCCTTTTTAAAATTACCAGAATTTTTCCCTCAATGCGGGTGTCTGGTTTATCGTAGAGCCAAATTTGGACCACCGTTTTGTTCGTGAAAAATCTGAAAATTTGGTTCTGCGACAGGGGGGTAAAAGGAGAGACAAACATGAGGAAGGGCAGAGGGGAACAAATGGAGTGGTGGGGTACGACACGTAACATTGCTTTTTTGTCAAACTGCTCTGTGCAGCCGCTTGGCTTTTTTTTTTTTTTTTTTTTTTTTTTTTTTTTTTTACTATAGGCTGAGTCATAATTTTTTGCAACTTCTTATTAGTCGACGCCATTTTGTTCCACAGTGGTTTGTATAGTTAGAGGGTGGTCGGGGTTCTTCCGAAATGGGAAAACAAATGATGAATGGGCAAGGAGGTTAGGGGCCAATCTCTTCCTAGCAACTAATGCTTATCCGTGGGGGATAGGGTTTTATTCCTGTACCCTACACAGTTGTGGGCGTTACGTCACGCACTTTTGTGTCATGACACAGCGTGTTTTTCCCAATAGGAAAAAATCTGGGACAGCAACGAACGCAGGGCGGAGTTGTTCGTACATAAAAAGTTATGCTTGCGTGTGTTTTTGCGTATTTTCTGTGTATTTTTTGCGTATTTTCTGTGTATTTTTTGCCTATTTTTTTGAGTATTTTTTTGAGTATTTTTTTGAATATTTTTTTGAATATTTTTCTGCGTTTGTCGTTGGCTCTTTGCTGCGTGGCAAAATGAACAAAAATGGGGATCCTTTTTCCGCTCTGCAATTTTTCGCCGGGGAATTTTTTATTCTGCCTTTTGCTCGGTCAACTGCTTCGTTTATTGGGTTGAGAAAATTCGAAGCAGCCCCAGACGTAGCGGGAGAGTTACATAATTTTAATTGGCCTGATTATTACCCCGGTTTGCCGCACATCTGTGAGTTGGCGTTTCCTCCTTTTTGTTCATGCGGCTTTTCTCGACACTGTTATTTTGGAGCGGCGCTATTATAAAATCCGGGCACGTGTCCTCACAAAAAAAAAAAAACAAAAAAAAAAATTTATGAAGCAACAAAGAAATGAGGAAAGGAAGTATTTTTTTTTTTTTTTTACAAATTGTGAACAATTGCGAACTTGCCAATTTTACTAGCATGCAAGGGGAAGGTACCCTCCAAAACGTGGCGGCCAAGAAAGGAAGCGACGGAAGAGAATAAATATTTTGCGGGCAAGTGAAGAGACGCACAAACGAGAACGGCGCCCCAGTGGACGACGGCATAATATTTTATGCCCGTGTAACCATGCTGCCGGGAGGGAAAAAAAAAAAAAAAAAGTTAACAGTTTGAAGCTGCTGTAGAAGCATTACTCTACTTTATTAAGTGAGAAGCAGAAATGGAGACCGAGGCGGAAAGCTTACCAGGGAAAAAATCCCAAGGGGGGAAGAACGAAAAAGATTTGCAAAGTTATATGGACGAACTGTGGGGGTTCGGCTCCAATTCGGAAGATGAAGAGGAGCACATGGGAAAAAAGGAGGAAAGTGGAAAAGGGGTGGTGACCACCTCGGAGGAATCGCAAGGAGAGGCGAATGATGAATGGGGAGGTAAAAAGGTGAAGGAGTTTGTCCCTCGCATGCTGCCTCATCACATGAATAAGGAGGACGGTTCTGTTTTTACCGATGACAATGCCATCTGTGCAAGTCACAATGGTAGTACCTCCAGTGGAAACTGTAGCGATGGGGAAGACAACCTAGCCACTGGGAAGAAAAACGTGGGGAACAAGAAGAAAAGGAAAAAGGGAAAAAATGGCTCAAGTGAGGATCTGACTGTCTTATATGAAAAGGACAACTTTTACCCAATGAATGATAAAAAGAGGAAAAAAGAAGAGGATATGTGGACAGTTGCAAAGGGGACAAAGGGAAATGTAGTGAACGAGAAGCTACATCACTGGGACGGTGCATCATGTGGGGCACCAAAACAAAAAACGAAGAAGGAGACCCCTGATGAAGCCACCAAACTAGTTAAAAAAAATATGTTTAAAGAAAAAATGGAAGCGAAAAAAGACTTCATGAATGTGGTCCACGAAATAAGAAAGCTGACTCTACCCCACTTGGATAAATTTCAAAGAAAAATTGTGGAAAATCATCAAGTACAAATGCTAGGAGGTAAATTCGACAAGAGTCCCAAGGTGCATTATCCGGAACTCATGTTTAGGAAGAAGTCAATTAAGAAGTACATTCAGCAGAGAAGAGAGAGGGAGAAAGTGATGGGCGTGAAGACCCAGACCGGGAACTACATTGACATGCAGGACGTGAACAGGATGAAGAAAAGGATGAAGAGGGAGAAGAGTTCGTCGAAGTTGTTTTAATGAACGGGGTTAACTGCGTGCCCAGGGAGGTGGCACGTGGAATGTGCCCTCCATAAATGATTTTAATCGGACGCATAATGATAGTCATATTGATAGTCATGTGTATAGTGTCCTATTTGTGGCGCTTTTTATTCTTTTCATCACACAAGACTATAAGCCCTTTTTTTGGTACCATTTGACAATTTTTTTTTTTTTTTTTTTTTTTTTTGCTTTCCTTTCCCGATGTGCGAACTTTCTCCTGCGGGTAACATTTTTTTTATTTTTTAATCAAAGTGATAAAAATGGAGAAAATATAGGGCGGCACACATGGTAGGTAAAAAAAAAAAAGAGAACAGGGATTACCAGGTTGCCCTCTTCAAAAGGCACGTACAAAATAATTTGCACATGGGGGAGACGTTGCCAATTTTCTCCTTTTTTTTTTGCCGCCTTCATGAGCCACTTTCCGCTTGAGCATGCACTTGTACGCGTACATATGTAGAGGGGCCACACTTTGCTCCGGTGTTACCTCTCCACATGGAGGACGTGAAGGGGCAAAATGAATAGAACAGTCAATGAGCTTCCCCCTAAGTGTTGGAAAAAGGAGTAAAAAAAAAAAAAAAAAGTGCAGTACAGCTGATGTTTTTTTTTGTTCGTGTAGCAGGTTGGTCAAATTGGGCAGGAAGCACAGTGTGTGGGGGATGGTTTCTCTTGGCGAATCGGCCATGTAAGTATAGCAACACGTAGCGGCTCTTCTACTGGACGCTCCGCAAATGGAGCAGGGTGAAGAATTCTCGAGACAAATTTCCCTGTGGGGAACGACGCACCAGGAGATCCTGATGAGCAGCTCAGTGTGCCTACTCGGGAGTAGCCTCCTCATTATGGAAGTTGCAAAGGGGTTGATGCTGAGCGGCATAAGGAACATTACCATTGTGGACAATACATGTGTAACCACGGAGGATGAAAAGTATTACATTTTCTCCAATGGATGTGAAATACTAAATGAGTACAAATGCAAAGTGGTGAAAGAAAATTTGATCAGAATGAATCAGCTAGCCAATATTACATGCATTGTTAAGGACCCACTAGACTACATGGAAGAGGTGGTCTCAAATGGAGGGGACACGTACGATGTGATTATTTGTAACTTGTCTGTAAGGTATAATTTGCTTGTTGAAAAAATTTGTAGGAGGAAAGGAAAAATATTTATAACGTGCCATGGGGAAGGGTACTTGGGTTATGTACATGTGAGTGTGGGTCAGAACCACCTGTATGTACACCCTTGTGATAAAAAAAGGAGAGAAAAATTCGAGTGGGCCATTTATACTCACTTGTCTCTGTCTCTATATGAAGAGCTGAAGGAATACGTACGCATGGTAGATTATGGCGCGATTCGCGGCCCCGTGTGGAGGGACAAAATTGTGTTCTTGGCCAAGTGTTACCAGGACTTTCTCGCAGGGCAGGGGGGCAGCACAGAGCGCAGCAATGAGCGCAGCAACGGTAGAGGTGACGACCGACACGATTGTGATTGCCGCTTTTTGTTCTTCCTCGATGAAAAATTAAAGTTAAAGGATGCCCCCCGCTTGCCCCCCCCGGACGAAACAACGTACAGGATGCTCAGCCCGAGGAACATCATGCACAGGATTAAAGAAGCTCTGCTTGTAAACCGAAATGAATGGCCCCCACAAAACCACATTTTTATATTTCTTGTCTCTTTAAAGAGTTTTATAAAAGAGCGGAAGGAGTTACCCCTCCTGGTGGACCTGAAAAATGAGGAGCGTGATGTTGGTGGGATGACGACTTGTGTGGACAAAATTTTGCTACAGAGAAAAGTGAAAGATGAAGAACAAATCGGGGCACTCATTGAGAGGAAGAAACGAAAATATAAATTTAAAAAAGCATTTTCTCTGTCCCATTTTGTGTATTTCTTCTGGAATTTTCTTTTTATGCGAAGTGGCACGCGGGACGACTCCGCGTGGGGCAACTCCTTACGCGAGCACTTCCTCGAATTTTCCCTTCTGTACGGCTTGGGATTGAAGCCTATTCGGGACGGACACCTGAGCGTGCGCGGAAGGGCGAAAACCGTCTGTCAACTTGACTGCAATTATGTAGACCAAAAGACGAGGGGAAATTTACTGCTGTGCGGAAGACACATGGACCTTATACATTTTGGTGAAAGAGGCCGGAATGCAAAAATTAAAAAGGAAATAAATAAGCTTGTTGAGTTATCGGTGCCACATGATGAGAGAGAGACACACATGGGTGGGTACAGCAATGCGAAGGAGCTCCCTTTTTTACTCTCCTATGTAGATGTAAACACAAACGTTTTGTTCAACACGGTGCGGAAAGTGGAGAACACATTTGACCGATTGGTTTGTGACATGGGGGGTTATGGCGTGTGCGCCCAGATGGTCATTGCGGGCTTGGTGGCGCAGGAGGGGGTCAAAATATGCTCGCTGTACTTGGAGCCGCAGTCGAATTCTTTCTTCTTCACCGCGGGGAAGGGGCGCGGTGGTGTAGGTTAGGGGCAGCCGCACACATTGGTACGTCGCCACGTCGCTGCGTCATCGCACCGGCACCTTGCCGCATCATCACACGAACACATGCGTTGCTTGCGCCCAGACACGCTTCCCTTGCACATTTGATTTCGACCCATTTTCCAAAAAAAAAAAGAAACTTTTAACAAATTGAAAGACACAAGTTTTTTGAAGGGGGCCGGCAGCGCGCAGGCAGATACAGATTAGGCAGGCGCGACCGGGACAACTATGAAGACACAAAAACAAAGACTACACAAACATACCAAACAAGCGATGGGTTTTTTAAAAAAAAAAAAAAAAAGAACCATTTAAAACCAATTAAACGATTGGAAGAGACTTGTGATATAGCTTATTATTATTACTTTTTTTTCCCCCCCCCCCGCGCGGTAGGTGCACAAGGGCGGATGATGCTCTGCTGAATGGCTGGCGTAGTGCTTCTCCATGTTAGGGGAACTCAGCAAGAAAAACGGGTCAAGGTGAAGAACAGGATGAAGTGAAAAAAGGGGATTTACGTTCTCACTCCATGGAGGGCGCGTTACCGCAGCGTCGCGCTAGCTATTGCTTGGGTACCAAGTGGAAGGAGGGCGGAATATTATTGCTGTCGTAGGAGGAGCGGCAGACCTCCTGGTCATTGTGCACGGTGATGTGTATGCTGGGCTCGAAGTGAATACCGGAGTAAAAGTAAATCAAAAAGTACACAGGATAATCCTGAAAGGTATTCCTAGGGAAAAAAAACTTTGTGTTATTATTAATAAATGTAATTAAACCAATGTTAAACATTTTTTGGAAGCCTTCATAGTCTGTCTCATCTCCCCAGTGGATATGTCCTGTCCTTGTCCTCTCGTAGAAAAAGGCAGTAGCCTTTTCCTGAATGGTCTTAGTCTCAATCACTTTATTATCACAAGTGAAATGGTAATTATTATTTTTAATAGACCAGTAGGATATGCAATCGCCACTATGCTTGAAGAGTAAACTTTTTGTGAGTAAGCCATCCTGTGGTCTTTTAATTTTTTCATTGAATGTGGTTTTCATAACAACCACATACACATCAGTATTTGCATAATTCAATTTTTTATTTACATTATTCAATTTATTCTTCATATTAATATAATTGAAAAATGGAAGTATGGTACCTTGTGTGATTTGTTTCATGAATACATGTGAGCCAATTACCTTGGACTTAAGATTTGCACCGATTAATTTATGAATATTTTTTTTTTTAACACTTTTCAGTTCATCATATGTCATTTTGTTAGCTGATAGGGATACTAATTTGAAGAAAATTAATTCATATATTCTGTAACCTCCTTCATGTACATCTTCTAGTATATCGTTATAATCGTTCATGTCATTAACTGCATCTGTGTCGTTTATCTTGTTTGAATCAGATTCTTCCTCTTCGTCTTTTTCATTTTCGCTTTCCTCCGCATCTGCTTGGCTGTTTTGTGTAGAATGTGTGGATCCTTTTGATTCCATCATGGCTTTGTTACACATGCGATATTTTTTTTCGCTTTCAATTTGTGCCAATCGCATGGCAGGATTTTTAAGGGTACTACTACTAGATTTGGTGTATAGAAGCCCTTGTGTGTTTAAGCTTTTTCTTAGTCTCATCATATCTTGGGGTCTGTGTTTTGTGGGTTCTGGTTTGTGTGCCACGACTACATGTTCGTAGTCATCTGTTGGAAGTGCAGTGGTGGGTTCTGCATTTTTTACCTCCACATTTTTTGTCTTAGCTGTACTTTTCACACTAGTTACATGTACAACCTTCGGGGTGGACCTTTCAGTGTTTCCGGATGAAGGGTTAAGGGATGGCTTCCTCAACACTGTGGGAATTTTTACACTCGGGCTTTGACCACTGCTGCTGCTGTTGCTGTTGAGCGGGATGGTGATGGACTGGTGCTTCAACTTGGTGTTGCTATCTTGGAGGTGTTTGGGTTTGTAGGTCACTGTGGAGTACGTACCCTTTGTGTCTTTGCTTCCCTGTCCTTTATCTTCCACGTGCTGCTTTTGCACCACATTATCTTCCTCTTCAAACAAATCGCTCGCCGAGTCGGAGTCACTGATGGCCACGCTTTCATCGCTGCTAGTGAATTCTATCGCGTCCTCGGGCGTAAATTCTTCGGCGCGCTCGCTGCCATTGGGGTGGTCTGCGGGAGGCGCACTTTCCTGTACGAGGCTTTTAAAATGGTTCACGTTGTCGTTGTTTCCTTGTCTAGGCCCACCATTCGCGTTGCCACCATTCACATTACCACCGTTCGCGTTGCCACTGTTGGCGTTGCCACTGCCCGGTTCACCACTACTCATATCACCACTGCTCGTGCTAGTGGTGCCCGAATCGCTGTCGCTTCCATCACTGTTGAGGTTGCCTCCCGTGTGGTCCTTGCCCAACCCGCTTTCACTTCCATTACGCTTAGTGCCGCTAGACCCCGCACCATCCTGTTTCTGTCCATCCCCGCACGTGTTTGACATACACCTGGCAGCTGCCTCCTGGGTGTTGGCGATGAGAGGTCGTCCACCGAAGGAGAGGTACTTGTTCATGTAATTGGAGATGAGCGTGAGGACAGACTTGTTCTTCGAATCATCCGTACTCCCCTTCATTACTCTACCCAAATAATCCTTCTTCATATAATAATTAGTAAATTCGAGGTTGATAAGGAGATCGAATTTTTCATTTATGAATTGTTCATCTATTTCGTAGTCCTGTGTATAACCAGGGAAGAATTTAATAAAATAAAAAGTACTGAGGTACCTCAAATCATTAACATTAAACTTTGTATCATCTGTTTGTTTTACATTATGTATATACCAAGGAAGGAAGAAGCTTTCCGGGACAGCTGGATTAGGGTGGACGTTAGTAGTTCGAACTCCATTTTTGTCTAACAGGTATTGTAAGGATAAGAAGAGGCAGTCGCCCGATCCACAAGTTTCCACATGACATAAGGTTTCATTATGGTTGTGGAAGAACTGTACCCAATTCCTTGAAGCTACTTGAAAATTATTTTTAGTGCATAAATTTCTGTAGTGGCTAAGTGGCACGTTGGTGTTTTTATTCATTTTCATAGGTAGGTTGCTTGTCTTTGTTGGGTTTATAATAGTTCTTAGGGGAGGCAATTTATCCTTTGTTGTTGGACCAATCCCTTTTGTATTATTTATTCTTTGCTGCTCTACCGCGGAGAGGTTACTAGTAATTTTGAAGTGGACATGTTTTTTTTTTGAATCAATTTCTGTGATAAGGATAATGCGTTTTAATGAGCTGTCTAGGTTAGCAGACAAATCAATTGGAAAGCATTTTCGTAGAGTTGAAAAATGAACTAGCTTTTCAAAATAAGGTGCATTTTTTTCAATGTCATAGCTGATTACATCTTCTAATAGATCTTGTAGTTTTTCATTAGACAGATATTGGTCTTCACTTAAATTATTTCTTTGTTTTTGTTCATGTAACCGTTTTGTGAAGTATGAAAAATTTTCTTTTATGAATTTAAAAAATAACCTGATGTGTTCATACACTTCATTTTTAAAATTTTCATAAAACAGCGATTTCACATTATATATGCCTATTTCCTCCAGGAAGACTTTTTTTTCTGTAGACTTGAAGCAATCTAGCAGAATATTCTGTAACGTCCTCACATTATCAAAATGCTCTTCACTGATGTACATCCTGTCATCTGCCATGTTAAAAACCACTGTGGATATGGTGACGTTGCTGTCATTTGCGTTATTGTTTATTAAGCCTTCTTCTTTGTTTATCCTTAAAGCGAAGAGAGAGCTGCAGAGGTGGATGGCGAACAGGGTCGCCACCAGCAACGCGCGCAGCCACGGCGCCGCTCCCCGTCTGCGTACCATTTGGGGTGGGCAGTTATGCAGTGCGCGGCGTGGAAGTTACTCCGTGGACAGAACGGATGTTGCGTCGTGTTTCTTATGCCGTGTGGCTACTGTCGCTTCTCCTGTTGTGCCCATCTGTCGCGTTTACCTTTTTTTTTTTTTTTTCGCTTTCACACTTGACGTCTCTCCTTTGTTCTGTACCGCCTGCGCGTACGGCACGAACGTTTGGGGGGAGCGACAAAAGCATATTATTACATGCGCAAGTGCACAGATGTGAAATGGCTACCTCCAAATAAAGCACAATGCATATGCCATACGGGCGCGCCCCCTTTTTTGTGGTTAGGGTCCCATTTTTCAACTTCCAAGCGGGCGCTGGTGCATCGGCCAGTTGCAAGGAAATGGGGGTTAACTAACTATAAAATGAAAGGGGCAGAAAAATAACTGAAGCGCTGAAAAAGAAAAAAAAACAAACAAACAAAAGAAAAAGGACTCCACACGCGCGTGCACGCATGTGCAATGCATTTAAAAGCGTTCGTTTGTTGATAGGAACAGTTTTTATAATGCGTACAAATATATGTAACTGCCACATGCAACTGTGGGAAAAAAAAAAATGGCTTGGCGACACCCGGGTGATAAAGGAAAAGAGGCATATGTCCGCCTAAGCGCTACCTGCGCATACAACTTTAATATTAAAATTAAAGCGCACGCGTGGGCGCAAGTTGGGGGCAAGTAAAGGGCAATATATTTACTTGCAACTATATCCTGCTATAATATACGTTCTTGGGTCCATGCATGGGTCAGCGGTGCGGGGTGATTTGGCAATTGTTGTGTCGACATTTTTGCGCGTCTGCACTTTTGCCTTTTTCGTATTTCCCCATTTTCCATCGCCGCCCTGTTTAAAAAAAAAGAATAGCGCAGAACGGCACAGCTATTTGGGGATGAAATGAACACCCATTTGAAAAACGTCACAGTTGCATCCATTTCGTTCTTCTTTTGTTAATTTTTGAACAAGTTGGACATACGCGCAATGTCTGCATACGGGATGCGGTTAAAAAATTTGTCATGCACAATTATTTTGTGTTTTTTTTTTCCCCCGTTTGATTGTGCGGAATGAAAAAATTAACGTCATTTGGACACACGAAGTAATCATTCGGCTTGGAAGTGAAGCAGGTGACTTTGAACACAAATACTTGGGCAGTGTTACCCACGTATGGTCGTCCTGTCGTTCAACTTTGTAAAATCCACAGGAGTCATTTTGTCCTGTTGACGCGGAATTGCGCAAGGGGGGGGACAGTAGCAAAAGCGGTACGCTGCACATTCCTTCCCCTTTCTTTCTCGCGCGTTTCGAACGATGTGTATTTTTTTTTTTTACAAAGAATACAATGTAAGGAATATCATTTTATTTTTTTTGTGGACCAGAAGCACACATGTGTAGTATACCGGTTGGATAAGCCCCACTTGTGAATGGCGCAAAATTGGCAACTGAGCAGGTGAAAGCTGCAGCCTTACCCTTTGGCCGTGTCTACCATTTGAGGGTGTTGTTACCGCCACAGTGATTTTCCGTATGCCCCATAAGACGTTTAACAGTGGAATTTTTTTTTTTTTTTTCCCTTTGCGGCGTTCAGGCATTCGTTGCCAACCCGCTTCACATTTATGCACACACGGATGGATGAGCAAGCTCAGGAATCCATCCCCTTGATTTACTCCATCAACTGCACACGCACGTGCATGAATATACTTGCCGTGAGGTTCGTCCTTCCCCCCCTGTCCAGCGCCCGGCGTAGCGTCATTCCGCTTCCACTATTGGGTCATATGATTGGTGCCCCCTGGAGGGTGAAATGGACGCTCATGTGCACATTACTGCGCGTTTGTCATTTGAATGTTCGCGTCGAGTGCCAATCTGTTAATCTGTCAATTCGCACGAAGGTGCTGCTAGGTGGACTCCTTAAGACAGCAGAAGGGGGGGGAGGACGAAAAGGAACATTTGTCTTTTTTGTGTGGCATTTTTCGTAATATATTCCTTTTTTTTTTTTTTTTTGCACATTTTGTGTCATCTCCAAGGTCATTTTTTTTTTTTTTTTTTTTTTTTTTTTTGCACATTTGTGTCATCTCCAAGGTCATTTTTTTTTTTTTTTTTTTTTTTGGTGCAAAAATGTAACAGAATTTTTCACACGCGACCAAATAAAAGGTGCTCACGCTATCTACGCATCACTCAGTGGAGGCAGTGTAACTCCCATTTCTGTTCCCAATGGTAGCAATGTTTATTTTGGGTGTGACCTACAGACGCGTTACGCTGTCTTTATTTTTTGCGTCGTTTAAGTGAACATGCCTGCGCATATGAATACACACGTGCGTACCGAGCAATGAACATTTTTTTTTTTGTTGCACTGCTGGGAGAAGTTATTTCTACAGAGACACCATGTGTGGGGGTAAGGTCCAATTGGAAAACCCCAAAGTACAGTTTTCTTTTTTCTTTTTTTTTTTTTTTTTTTCAAGTCCATTTTGGCCGTTCCGTTCGTCCCGCTTCATGTGCATGGCAGTGCTGGGCGCATTTGAGCGGGGGTACAGTGGCGAGTGTGCGGCGTCCTACGCGATGAGAAGCAGGGCGAAGAACGATGCAGTGAAGTGGCCAAGTGGCCAAGTCATGAAGGGTCAAACGATAAAGCAGTGAAGCAATAGGTATGCAAATGTCACCATCAACGCAACCGCATCCGCGCTCTGAGTTTTGCCTGTCTTGAACCATTCTTTTTTTTCTTCTTCTTCTTTTGCGCTAATCGAAGGACACCCACTTATGTGATTTGCGACACAGTTGGTAGAGCGGAAAGAACTCACTTCGCGTTTGAATCATTTGTCAAGTGGGGATAAAGGCGGCTCGGCAAACTGTACCCCCTCGCTGCTCTAACCGTGTTAACCCAACCCAAAATGAAAGCGCTGCACCTGCACCAGCTGCTGTTACCGCTACTGCTACTGCTGTGGCTCTCCCTGTCTGTGGAAGGAATCAGGAAAAGTGCTGACACAAGACATAAAAAGGGTTTAATAAAAAGAGCCACGAGGAAGGTTGCTGGTTATACGCGCCTGTATAAAAGATCTTTTAAGCTCAAGGAAGAGGAAGTGCTCGGTAGGTACGAAGTTAAGGCTTACTTCTTCTTCGATGAATCATTTGAAAAAAGATTCAAATGGAATTTGTATTACAAATTTTGTAGAACGGGTAGCCCTAATATCTGCAACTATATACAATTACGAAGACAATTTGAGAAGTGGTATGGTGACAAATCATTTTCAATAAAGAAATACATGTCTGATGTGACTTTAGTCTTTAATCAGTTTAGTAGCAAATACTCCATATTGCAGTTCGATGTAAAATTAGAGCCTCACAGCATTTTAAAAATTTCCAAGGTGCCTAACCTATCCGATATCCTAATGGAATCCCTGACGAACTTAATTAGTCGCAAGAAGTTGAAGCCTCCATCGGACATTCCTTCGTGGAGGCTGTCCTTTAATTACATTACTGGGGTGAAGAAGCTGGTTATGAAGACCCCTGCGCAGGTGCCCGGGATGAATTTTTACTTTTACTTTGTTATCCCAGCGTATAAATATTGTACGTTAGCGGCAGTTACGACAGCGATTACGTGAACGTCTTTTCATTCATTTTCCTCCCCTTCTTTTTGCATTTACATGTGGTTGATGCGTTCTTCTTGTCACGTCGCTTAGAGCGCACTGCGCTGTGATGACATGTTCATATGTCTGTCCACGTGGCCATTCCTTTTTTTTTTTTTTTACCCCATTTTGCAGACTACTCGCGTTTGTTTGCGAACATCGGGGACATCCATTTCAAGTACGAGTGGGGAATCAGAAATTACAAAGTTGGCTACTTCACCATGGAGCACATGTAAGGAACACGATTTGTTTTGTTTTCACGTGCGATGAAATGCGTGTGTGTTTGCACGTGTGTGCTTTTTCTAATGTTGTGTCGACCACCTGCCCATTTTCACCACCACCTTCTTGCCCATACGCCATTTGCGTCTTCCGCTTCTCACAGAAAGTAGGAACAGGGTGAGGGACGATTGTCCCATTTTATAGAAGTCAGCCCCCCCCAAAAAAATATATCCCCTGTCACATAACCTTCTTGAGGTACACACGAAGGGAAGCTGCTGCTTTTGGACCAGCGCAATGTTGACAACAAAACAGGACGACATTAAACAACAACACGTGTCATGTGCGTGCTTCAAAACTGGACAAAAGACGCATCCCCGAATTTTTGGCACACCACATTATCATTCCTCTGTGGGGCTGCCCCTGTGGAGTGTATAGTTGCGCACACAAGTACAACCCCAGCCGCTCTATTCATTTGGCCTATCCCTAATTGCCACTTTTCTTTTCTTTTTCCCAATCACATTGTGTTAATTGTTTGTTAGCTTACTGATTTACCTGCCTTGTATGTATCTCCTTCATTGCACTATGCGTGGGGAATGGCGGTATGTGCTTCCCTTGACACCCCCCCACAGGGATAATTCGATTCAGCATTTTTTTTTTTTTTTTTTTTTTTTTTTGCACTGTGCTCACACATTTCACTTTTTACATGTTTTGCACTACGTGCAAAATTTATATGAATGGTAAATTTTGGATTTAATTTTTTGGCTTTGTTGCTTATTTCACATGGCATGAGTTTATCTGTGTGCATGAGCACAAGAGTGGGTAGCGGCGTGTCGTTTCTATATATATATATTTTGTTTCCAGCGCATGGCGTAATCTCCGTCGTTTTAACCACTTTATTTTTCTCCTCATTTTGGTAGCACTGCGGTGAACCCTCTCCGCACTGCACATCTAGCAACTCGCATTTGTCAACCCATTCGCTTAATTAAAAACGTATTTACTAACCCACTTTATGCGCATCCATTTTCTACATGTGAATATGCCACTCAGGACATGTACGGAGGTGATCAGGTAGCGTGAGAGGTGCACACGGGCTGAGGCGCTCCATTCAATCAGCCGCAAATTTGATCATTCCTCGCCCTTCACATGATAAGAGGGTGGTAATTGGGTGAAACCATTTGGACAAGTTCGCAATGGCATTCTCCAACGTTTAGTGCAGCATGAACAGAGCAGAACGGGGTGGAGGGGATTTTTTATTTTTTTTTTTTTTTTGTGCTCATTTTTGTGACAAATGAACCCCTTCACATTTGTGGCATTGGAGTTCCTTTTCATTGGCACATTTTATTTTCTCCAAAATGGGACTATAAAATTTGGCCACGCTTGGGGTGTGAAAAATGCCTACTTAAGTAAGGGGGGGGTTCGCGGTAACGGTACACATGTGTTTGGACGAGGCAGACTCTGTTATATGACCGCATTGGGGGGCAGAAGCCACCGACCACGAAGGACCATTCGCCATGCGTGCACGGTGCAGAGAGGACATGCGGTTGGTGTGGGGGCGGTCGAAGAGGTACACAGCCAACGGGATGAGAAGCCCGCTGGGGTTAGTACTAAGGCGGGGGACGCCGGGAACGTGGCCGAAGTACCCACCCAGAAGAAGAAAAAACAGAAAAGAGAAATAAAAAAGGACGAATATGGAATTCCAGACGAAAGGCTAAATATAACAAGGCACATAAACAGCAAAATAAAATCCAAGTACAATTTTTGCAGAGTAAAGACATACAACGAAACTATAAATATAAATTACAAGAAAAAAAAAATTTTAAGCATTCATGAAGGGAAACTTAAGAATAGGAGGATATACTCACCTGATACTTACACAAGGCCCATGATGAGCAAAGTGAAAGAATCTCTCTTTAGCATTTTGTCTCACTTGGGTATATTTAGTAACTCCAGCATAAATGTATTGGACGTGTTTAGTGGGAGCGGCAACCTGGGCATCGAGTGCATTTCGAGAGACATACCTCATGTGACCTTTGTGGACTTGTCCCTCAATAGCTGCAAAACTATATATGAAAATTTAAAACTTTGTAACATTAACCATTCATACAATCAAATAATAAGAGCTGATGCTATGGAGTTGTTGAAGTGTCCTTTAAGGTTTCATATCGGTGATAAATATCAGTTAGCTTTTTTCACTCCACCGTATGAACAAATTGTATACAGTGAGTTGATACGGAATATTGCCAACAGTGAACTCTTCGACCGTGACTGTCTTGTCTTTATTGAGTACCCGAAAGAGCTTGAGATGCTGCCCCAGAGGGTGTACAACATGATAGGATTAAGGAATAGGAAATTTGGACGCACCTACTTTGCCTTGTACGTTCTGAACAGTTCAGGTAAGTATCTCTTTGCTGAAAGCAGCGATGAATTTTACCCGCTCCATTATAACCGAAAGCAGCGTAGACAGGCGAAGTATCTTTAGTACCGTCCAACAAGACGTACAAGAAGAACACCATGAAGAAGAAATGCGGTCGGGCGTCCAGCACGGAACTTATATGACCATAAAATGGAGAATTTTTTTTTTTTTTTTTTTTTTGTGTTCATTTTTTTTTTTCCCCTTTTTGATACTTTACTCTCATTTTTCGAGTTGGTACATCAATTTCGTTTCGTGCGCACAAGGAGGCATGGACAAATGGACTACATGTGAGGAAGCAAATGCGGATGGGGCACACACAAATTGTGCATTCGCGTGAAGAGCGCTATTCTGAGCACATACATCACAAGTGCAGTATATAATTGTTGTGCAAAAAATTGTAAATCACTTGGTTCCTCGAGTTGCATTCATCAGTTGGCATGGCCCCTTCGCGGCTGAAGGCGATTTCGCGCAAAATGTTCATGATGAAGACAAACAGAAATTGCTGCTTATCAATCGTTAGGTTGGTGTGGTCTCCCGAAAAAAGTGTTAAGACCTTTTGGACAATGTCGTTGGTTTGAATTATTTTAAAATAATTTGCGGAGGAGATTGACGATGCATTGGGGGAGGATTTTCCTCCGTTGCTGCCCCTTTCCTGGATGTGGGCCCGACTTTTACGCAAGAAGCTGTTGAGCATATTGAGCGTTTTTTTATTACTGAAACTTTTGTTGTGTATATTTTCTGTAACTGCTTTATAGTAGCGATTGCCTTCGTCCTTAAGCATTGCGTCATTTAAATTTTGCACATGCTTGAGCAAAGTATATGTGTTGTTAACTGTGTCGATTTGTTTTTTTATCACTTTTTTTTCTTCATCATCATCTATGCTTTGCTTTCTTATGAGTATTTCGTTCAGCTTTCCGTTTAGCTGTTCCATTTTCTGGCACATGATTATATGTTTATTTCTGTTTTTTAAGAGCTGGTTTTTCTTCAACTCCACGTCCTTCAGGGACTTCTCCTTTGTTTCTTCATACTTGCGTATGTTCTCTCCGATGTTCGCGATGCGCTTGTCGATTATCTTTTTTTCCAGTAGCAGGTTGTTGTACTGCTCAGATATTTTCTTCAGCTTTGTCAGGAAGTCCTCCATTTTTGAGTGCCGCGGGTGAGAAGTGTAACTCAGGATTCACTTTGCCTATGTTACACCCGTGTTGCGTTCAACCCTTATTAATGCCAATTTGACAAGGGCAAACAAGTCTCTTCGAGCGAAGGATGGACAAATTGGAAGTTTCTCTGTCGCCCTTTGCGCTATTTTACCCAACGCACGCAGTGCTTACGGTTAATGTGTGCAAGCTGCGAGGAAGAAAAAAAGGGGCGGATACAAGGAGGGAATACAACTGTGACAGCTAATCAGATAGCGCAAGCGGTCTAACATTTAAAGGACATTATATTTCTCTTTGTTTTATTTAGAATCTGCTTTGGTAACTATGCGGAGCATTAAATGGGACAAATATGTCTTTAAAACAAAAAAAAAAAAAAAAAAAAAAAAACCGCCCACTTTTCTTCCCTTTTTTTTTTAAAACACAATGTCAGACCACGAAACAAAAAAAAAAAAAAATTTTTTTTTTTTTTTTTTGCGGGGGTGACTTTTTTTTTTTTTTTTTTTTTTTTTTTTTTTTTTTTTTTTTATTTGGTCAAAAAAAGAAGGAAGCCAAGGTAGCCATTTCGGCTTTGGCTCCAAGGGGACATTATTACTAATGCATAGTTAAAGTAGTGTATCTAATCATTTGAACAAGTTTTTGCGTCTAAACAGAGAGCGAAAAGGTACAACATCATACCACGTAGATTTACTTCGCCTGTCTTTATTTGCAATTATAATTGAAACGAAAAATATAGTGCGTAAAAAAAGCAGCTACGGTATGTGGAGTCGTAGGAAACAGCGTGTGTTGTGTTGACACCGGCACATTCAAGAGGGATGAGCTTGATGTGTGTGTAACAGGTTTATACGTTTAAAAATTCTTGGTCTTTAAATTTTACTTAAAAAGGGAGGGGGAAAAAAAAAAAAAAAACAAACCAACAAACAGCGCGCTTACCAATTGGGTAAGCATGCAGACATTCGCCTTAAAGAGAGGGACGCGAAAAAAATATATATATTACACATGCACATGTAGATATGCGCCGCCCCTTTCTGCTAACTTTGCAAAATTGCTCGTGCAAGTATGCTAGGGGAGCGAATGCGAAGCAAGCAACAATGCACACACACAAAAACAAGGAGCAACATGGCGAATGGAGGGGCTGGATAAAAGCGTAGGTGAAAATGAATTAAAGAGGGGGTGGATATTTTTCAAAATGTGTAGAATAACGCTATTTGGACTCTTCCTTTAATTGAAAAGCGCACGAATTTGTGATTTCGCTGGGCAAATGGGAAAAAATAAAGAATAAAAACAATACAGAACTGCGACATGGCTTAATGCATATGTAAAAACATTCGCCTGAAACGGGTAACTAAGTCAAGTCGCTCAAATGGATGTAAAATTTACGAATAAAGGCGCTGGGTGTGATGTGAGAATCAGTCTGAACTTTGCACCATGCATGAAGACGCGTGTGTGTGTGTTTGGGGTGGATACACCCGTATGGCAGTGCACACACGTTAAGTAATAAAAAAAAAAAAAAAAGTCCCCATCAGATGATTATTCCTTTTTCGGAGGAGGATTTATATATTTAAAAGCTAAAGCAGCAATGGCAGCATAGTTCAACTTTGTGATATTTTTTGTTTGCTCGATTTGAGATAAAATTAAATTAACTTGTTGCACAGAGGATGATCTAATAATTCTGGCAATGATGGCTAGATTTTTAGCTCTAGTTATTCCATGTTCAGATATTTTAAAAGGAACTTTAAATTGTTTTTTTTGTTGTGTTTCCCACCAATTGGCTACATATGAGCCTTGGTAGAAATACACACCTGTGGGTAAATTCTCTGAGCTATTGTAGGACTGTTTAACTTTTTTTTTTTCGATACCTGTTTTTTTGACGGCCGTACGTTTCTGTTCTTGTTCGTTGTTGCTGAGTGCGGTGAGTTGGTTGCTTTGAGTGATTCGTTGGTCTGGCTGTCCGCTTACCATGTCCGTTTGCACGTTAACTTCGTTCGTCTGACCGTCTGCTGCGGCGTTTGGGGATGCTCTACTGTGAAGACCGTTTGACATATCCTTGGCGTTTGGTTTAAGCAGATCGTTAAAGAGTTTTTCACTCTTTTGTGTGGTTCTAATAGCTTGTAGCATCTGTTCCTTCTGCTCGGAGGTTAAATTGTCGTAGCACTTCAAGGCGTTGTTGAGGTTACTAATACGAAGGTTCCTAGACAGGATGGCTAAGATCATACATTTTTCTATTCCGAATTCGGCTATCTTGTATGGCATTTTAATTTGTTTTTTTGTTCTGTAATCAATCCAGTTGGCAATAAAGGAGCGTGAAACTCTGCTGTAGAATACACCCGTGGGTAGGTACTTGTATTTAATCATTGTGTTTTCGTCTGATTGGGGTTCGCAGAGTGTAGCATCCTTCGGGCTGCTTCTGCTGTTGGCAGTTCTACCGTTTACATTTCTTCCATTTGCATTTCTCCCGTTTGCATTTCTAGCCGCGCTATCGTTGCTACCCACACTGTAATAATTCCCCGTTGAGTTCAAATTAGCGCTTCCATTCCCATACTGATTACCATAGTAATAGTAGCTGCTGCTATTTGTACCACCGTTGAGAGAGTTATAATTATCTACCTTGGCTCTATTTCTGTAACTTCTTTTTTCTAAATAATTTAATTTTTCATATACTTCCTCTTTTTCATTAATGGGTGTGTTTTTATCCGAGTGGCTGGTTTTTTTTCTGGTCATTATTTGGCTTTGATTGGGTTGTGTTTTCTTTGCGTTTGCGCGGCTGGTGGGTTTGTTGCTGTGGCATCCTCCTGGGTGGCCACTCTGCTCCGCTGTTGTACATACGCCGTCCTGGGCAGTTGCCCCCCCACAGGCGAGGTCAACGTTGCCGCTATCGTTTCCATTGCTATTGTTAGGGTCGCCGTTCCCGTTAGGGTTGGTGTTACCCTGAGGGTCACAACTTTTCAGTTGCCCTGGCTGTCCCCCTTTTGTAAAATTACTGCTGTCATTCTGGTCGACGTAGCCAAAGGCTAACCTGCAGAAGTAGCTAGTGTCTACACTTTTTAAATTTTTCAAGTTCATGTAATTTTTTTTGTCCTGATTGATTATTTCGTTTAATGTATTTCCTCTCCATTTTTTTGTGTAGAGGAGGTATTTGTTTCCTCTGAAGACGCTTCCATATAGGATGGAGATTACTCTCTCCCTTTCCCTCTTACTATTTGCGATGCTTTTTTTTATTTCTTGTTTTGTGCATCCCAGACTTTTTCTAATTATTTTTTGCCACACGCTACGGCACTTTCTTATTTTCTTTTGCTTCTTTAAATACTTGATTTCGTTTTCCTCAAAATGGTTCATATTTTTTTCTTGCGCCTTGTTGATGAGGAGAGAGAAGCGGTGAAGAGGACGAAGCGGTGAATCAACGCCGTGAAGAGCGCGCAGCGGTGTAGAGGACAACGCGGTGAAGAGGATAAAGCGGGCAGGGAAAGACACAATTCCCTTTTGTGTGTCTACATCGGGCTGTTCAAGGTCAGGCGTCAGAACATAAACAATTTATTTTACCTCAATTAGTTAGCCTTACTCGGTGAAGTAGTAAACTGTTTAGAAGAAAGAGGACGACGTTTTTATTTGCGTACGTGGATATGTGTATGGAGGTACTCAGGAAAGTGACGCGTTTTTTTTTGTCGACAACATGAGGGTGACCAGACACACATGTGTGAAGCAATTTTGTGCATGCCGTCCTGATTTTTTTTGGGGGGGGGGGGAGGGGAACCTCTTCCTTGTCCTCACCTCCAGCCAAATGCGCAAAGTGGTAAAAAAATAAGAAAAAGGAACAAAAGGTCTAAGAGGTGAAACTGCTCAAGGGAATAATAATTTAAAACGCTGGCTTTCGCCTCAGCAGGATGTGTGGGGAATGAACAGGGGAAACAACAAATAGCAAAAAAAAAAAAAAAAAGGTTAAATGTTAATGTAAACGTGAAAAGATGAAGATGAGGAAGAGGATGCGGACGAAGGCAAATGTATATACTGGCGAAAAGATCATCACATGAATATTTAAATTGAACATTTAAAGAAGCGATCTTCTTAAGCAGTAACTGTTTAAGCGGGCGAATATTCAAAATACGGGAAAACGTAAACGAGCGAACAATCAAACATTTCGCAATCTACACCCTTCACGTGGTATACTCTTGTGAGATGTAATCAAAATTAAATCCAACGCACGCGTGTAGAAAATTATTTTTCATAAAAATGGGCAAAAAAAATAAAATAAAAAAAAAAAAAAAAAAAAAAAAAAAAAACAGATGAAATGGGGGTAGGGCAATATATTTATTTATTGATAAAAAAAAAAAAAGGTACAAAAAGAATTGCAGCTACGAAGCATGCAGGAGGGACTGGACTTCAAAATTTACAACTTCACCTTCGCGCTGTGCTCGTTTGCACGTTTGCACATTTGAACATATAAATATATATATGTACACATATAACACATGGAAGCAAAGCAGGAGTCTGAAACAAAAAAAAAAGAACAAAATGCAGGCAGCTCTCCGCATGCACGGATACACACATATATTTTTTGTGGTAGAAAAAATGGTGACCCTATTAACAGCAAGGAGGAGGTGATCAGGGGGAACAAGAACAAATTACAGCCCGAAAAATACAGCCCGAAAAATACAGCCCGAAAAATACCGCCGAAAAATAAAGCGCAAAAATGAAGCCTACATTTTGCGCACATAATAAAACTAGTTCGAAGGATATTTCGCCCGCTTAAAGATAAATGAAGACGAGGGCGGTTTTAAAGTACGCGAAGAGAAGGGGCATACCATAAGAAGGGGAGAGGTGGGGAGGACCATCGTTACGGGCCTTAACTGTATGCACAGCTATACACTCAAACGTGTGTACATGTGTGTACTCGCCACAGCTTGTGCAGCCGTGTCTTCAAATTTTGCGGAGCATGACTGGTTCTGTGTACGCATGTACGAGCGGGTGTACGTGTAAGGTACCTAACGTAGGCGTACGTAGGGTTACCTGTTCAGGGTGAAAAAGGTGGTTGCTTTCTGTTTAGCTTCAAAATTGGCATATGTGTGGGGTTTACCAAAATGGAGATTCAGTT